AAGAGCAGTCAGACAGAGTCGTTGTGCCGAGTCGTGCCACTAGATTGCATATACCAGCCACAGACACACACCAGGCCGCGTCCTGCAGCGCATACCCGTGAGCCTGCACGGCGAAGGGCATCATGAGCATGAAGTTGAGGTAGCCGTTTTGGGACAGAAGGCCTCCCAACGCGATGATTAAGGCTGGCGGGGATTTTAGGATTTTCAAGTCGGCGATCATTAAGCGGAAGACCCGGCCTATCAGGATCCAAGCACCACTGGTTTTCGAATTGTCTTGAGACGTCTCCGAGCCATAGTCGTCTGGGTCTTCTTCGCAAATCGTTGGATATCCAGATATATCCACAGTGGACAGGTGTAAGGACGCGGAGGATTCGCTCACTTGTCGAAGCCTTTTATTTCGGAGCGTTAATGGCGCCTGTGGATTGGTTAGTGGTGTGTTAATGAGTGACGAATCTTCCTGTTTGTCTACTGGTGTCTCCTGCTTGCTCAGATCCTTCGATGTCGCTTCTTTCTTCATATGCCACTGAACAGGCTGAAAAAGTGCAGCTCCGGCCACACTGTGAAGCATTATGCCGCCGATGATGAGGGTGGCGCCCCTGAAGCCGTAAGTTTCTTGCAAGAGGCGAATCAACGGAGGTCCTGCAAACTGCCCCGTGCACATGCCTGCCATCATGATAGCCGTGGCCAGACCGCGACGCCGCTTGAAGTAGTGAGCGATAATCAAGTAACACGGCTTGCATCCCAGGCCTCCGAACAATCCTGCAAAGGTTAAAGAACATTTAACCTTACGGTTGTTATCTAGAACGACGTTAAGCTTTCTCCATAAGGGAGTGATTTTCCTTGCCACATGTAAATAGATAATATCAATATATCATATCGACAATCTGTATTTTCTACGAAAGTTCCTCATTATAGCTTTCTCACATGCTTGCAAGAAACACAGCATAGTCAATCTTTGGAGGAAAATTCAAGAACTCACCACCCAGGCCAAATGCTACAAGAAGGAATTCTGCCGATGTAGCAAAGGAACACAGGACCAAGCACGTGGCACCAGCGCCGGCACAGATCATGCTGACTTTCCGGAACCCGAACTCTGTCGTGAGAGGACCTGTCAACGGACCCACCAAGTTCCACAGCAAGAGGTGAGAATTAAAGATCCAGGCTGTGGTAGTCGAGGACACGCCCAGGTCCAGCAGGAAGGTGGAAAAAAGGATGGAGAAACTCAGGGACATGCCTGGCAGCGTTACCTTGAAAAAAGTAAGATGCAGAGAAATATTTTCTTAAAATAATGAATAGCATGGTTTGAAATCCATACAAAATGCAAGGCATTGATTCTACATATGGACATGGAAACAAATTATCAGCACGAAATTTCGCAAATTATTCTGCGAGAAGAAATGGTTATACATCTGTTAAAACAATAGACAGACTTCGAAAGTCATTGGAACCTCTTTACCTAACAAATAGTCATATTTATCATCATTGTCTTGGAAAGGCAAATTTTCTCCTATTTAGGCCTCAGTAAGCACTGCAAAATATAACTGAAAGGATTTGTGTCCCGGAAAGGTTTCATAGAATATCCCATGACGAGAGTCGAGAATCTTGATACCTTTGATGAAAATAGTATATATTCATTTCATTTCTTGACAGGAATGTTTTACTTATTTATAAATTATTGCATCTGTGTATTGCAGAAAAATATAATTTCGCTAGCAAAATATTTTGCACTGCTAGAACGAATTGTCTCAGGCAGAATTTCGTAACAGGAACATTGCCACATTTTTCCAACTTGTTCTTCGTTATAATGGTTAAAATAAGTGACGTAGCCTAGGATACTTACCACCATTACGTAGCAGCCGAGGGCGACCATCCATCCCCAACCTCCATCAGGCACAGTCTTCTCTACCGTTTCCCCATTTTCCAAAGAACTTTTCCCGGCCATCGTTTCATTCGAACCTGGACTTTGTGTTTGTTCAACTTCGTGGTTAGGATATAACAGTCGTCTTCATTGTTGTAATATACAATTGCTTTTCATCACTATGATTTTCGGATGATTGAATATAAAACACCAGAATTTGTGAATGTGAAAACAGACGATATTACTTCACAGCGCCACGGATTTTGGTTGTTTGAAGGTACAGTACACTTAGCTTTTTACCAGCTTACTTCCATGGAATAAAGCCGAATTTAGTGAAAAGAAATGCTGGTTTACAGCCACGGTCGATCTTCTGAAATCTGCTGTGAATAACAAAAAAATATGATCTTCCATTCTCAGACATTCTCGAATTAAATGGGCACCATTATACCTATCAAATATAAATAGTAGCAGCTTATACAGCAGGTGGTTTAACTCGCTGTGTCGACGCTAGTTACAACAGAGGCAGACTGAGTGGTGTCTACCTTTGGCACTCGTCACCACAAGCGGGTACAACTCCAGCGTCAAGGGCACTTTACTCAAGACCTGACTTCTCTTGGCTGATTAGCTGAAGGATGCTCTGTAGCATTACTTGCGAATACCGATAGAAGCTCTAGGGATATAAAAGTCTAGTGTAGATAATGAATAAATGAAAATCGCTGCCACAGTCGCAGTTTCCCAGCCACGTTGTGATGATTTTGCACTTAAAGTGCACACATGTGAGAGTGTGTGATTTTCCCATATCAAGTAGCTGGCAAGATTAGAGTTGCTGTTACTATGTTACTGGGTGTACTCACCGAGCATATAGACGTAGGTCCTCTGTAAAGCCATAGTAACGGGATAAAACGCATAATTAGCAGAACGAAATGAGAGAGAGAGAGAGAGAGAGAGAGAGAGAGAGAGAGAGAGAGAGAGAGAGAGAGAGAGAGAGAGAGAGAGAGAGAGAGAGAGAAGGGGAGGGGAGTAGGCGGACAGACAGAAATAATTAGGCAGACAGACGAACAGACACACGTAGGCGGAGATAGACACTAGCGACAAAAAATACTTTCTTATTGAAGCGAAGAAAAAAGCAAAACAAAACAGAAGAGTACTGAGTGAAGATAGATAGATAAAGGGAGAGAGGTAGGGAGGGGAAAAAGATACACGGGGGGGGGGGGGGCTAGTGCTAGAGATAGAGAGAGAGAGATTAAAACAGAAGTAAACATGCTAGCGATATACTTATATAGAGAGAGAAAGGGTAAGGGGAAAAAAGACGGGGAGCGGGGGAGAGCTAGTGCTAGAAATAGAGATAGATTGAAACAGAAATAGACATGCGATCGATATATAGATAGATAGATTGATAGATAGAGAGGGGGGGGAGATAACTAGGACTAGAGACAGAGACAGATTGATTGAAACAGAAATAGACATGCGATCGATAGATAGATAGATAGAGAGAGGGGGGGGGAGGTAACTAGGACTAGAGACAGAGACAGATAGATTGAAACAGAAATAGACATGCGATAGATATGTAGATGGAGAGAGAAATAGCGAAAGAAACAGGGAGAGGGAGAGATAGATAGATAGATATAGAGAGAGACTGAGAGACTGAGAGACAGGCAGACACTCAGCCAAACAAGCAAACCGACACAGACGGAGATAAAGACAGGCAAAGAGAATGTTAAATCATGATATATAACCCTTTTGACTTTATGTATGACGAACAGATTTTCTCGAAGTATGAGCTATATAAAAACACATTCCTTCAGTAATGCACCCTTTGATGATAAGCCGGATTGCATAAGAGATAACACACAGACGGCTGTGTAAGATCTTGGGTTTCGGCTCCGATTCAATGACTTTTACAATCTAAATGATATGATCCCGAATATAATACGTTGGATAGTTGATCTGTAACATTTATCCTTCTGAAAAGGAAAAGAATGAGGTAAAAAAAGAAAGCAAAAAAACAATAAAGGTATGAATAAAGAAACACACACACACACACACACACACACACACACACATACACACACATACACACACACACACACACACACACACACACACACACACACACACACACACACACACACATATATATATATATATATATATATATATATATATATATATATATATATATATACATACACACACACACACACACACACGTATGTATGTATATATATATATATATATATATATATATATATATATATATATATATATATATATATATATATGTATATATGTATACACGTATGTATATATGTATATATATATGTATATATATACATACATACATATATATATATATATATATATATATATATATATATATATATATATATATATATACATATATATAAATATATATATATATATATATATATATATATATATATATATATATATATATACATATATATATATATATATATATATATATATATATATATATATATATATATATATATATATATATATATATATATATATATTACGTGTGTGTGAGTGTATGTTTGTGAACGTATATATATACAGTACACATCAATAAAATAATAATAACAAAAAATAGTTACCATTTCCCAACGAATGCCAAGACGAAAGTAAACCTTCTCCGTTTTCCTTGTTGTCCCACCTCTTTACAACGCGTAAAGCCTGGTACATACAAAGCCAAACTGGCGCCTATAATCCTTACGGTTGTTATCTAGAACGACGTTAAGCTTTCTCCATAAGGGACCACAGTCGCTGGATTTCTTTCCCAGTCAAGAATATGGATCTAAATACAAACGATAAATTCGTTGGTAAAACAGAAAATTATAAGTAATCTAAAACATTGTCTATTTACTATAAATTGAAGATAAGCAGAAATCACTGTCTTCCAATTTATTTATCTACTTATTTATAGTGTAGTCTCGCTTTAAAACTTGAGTTATTATTTTCTTGAGACAGCGTTTTCTTTGGCTGCGTGCTCACATAGACTATTATATTTATTAGTGGTAGGGTGGACGAAGGGAAAATGAGACCAAGAAAGTAATAATAATCTGGTCTTTTAAGATTAAACAGCTACATATGTGTTTAGCTATGATTACAGGATGGTAATAGACATTCAAACATCCATTATCTGCCTTTAGCATCTCTAAATGACATAACTCAAAAGTTAAGATAACATAGCAAAATTCATGTAGTATATGTAGTATAAGGTAGTGGTAGAGTTGGGTAATAAAACCTACATGAAATGATAGAACAATACAAACCAAGACAAAGTTCTTCTGTGGCATTATGTGTGCAAATGCTTCCCAAGGTCGCTATACGTAAGAGAAAAGAGAAGATCCCCCATTTTTGGCCAAGTTGCTCATCTTGTTTACATTGCGAGGGTAAATTCTAGACGCATATATTACCACGGGGGTCCAGGGGGTGTAGCCACCTGACTAGGGAATATATACCAAGGTGTCAGGTTAGGTTGAATGTTGGGTTAGAACGTTTTGTTTAACAACCACAGGGGTCCTGTTGTACCCCATAATTTCCCTGATATACTTCATGCCCTCCCCTGCTATCGGGACTATTAAATCAAGATTGTCGATCATATCTCCTCAACGATTCATTTGCACAAGAAACAATGCCTATAATCGTTGAAAGCAGTGCATTTGATGCAGAAAAATATCAAAATTGTTTTAAAAGTAACCCACTGCCCTATTCTACATATTGACCCAATATTCATATGAAACGTCTAAACATCCGTCATTAACGAGTTTAAGACCGTTCTTCTAAATGAACAAATTTTAACATTAATTTTACCCCACTTTTGTAAATACTGTAAATATTTGATTTTACTTTAAGAAATTGGTTGATTACTTTCTTGTCAATGGAATGTATAATGGATCGAATATTTATCTTACTGAAGGAAATCCTCTTTCTATTTTATTTTTGTCAATAAAGTCCTTCTTTCGTGCATTATCTTGATGTAACGTTTGCCATACCCCAGCTTCTGAGACCTCAAGTTGTTAAACATTATCGCGTTTTATTTTATTTTCCAATTATCGGTAATAACTGCCGTCATTTTTACTGTATATGCACTGTGGAAGTAGACTGTTACTGTTTACATAATATTCAGCATACTATAAATTCTCGGTTCACAATACTGAATTGGTTGATGGTTGACTGATTACCTGCTTCACCGCTTTTCGGCAAAAAGAAGACAATTACAGCAAAGGCCTTTTACAGAGCCATGTAATTTTGACCGACACTAATGATCGACACAAGTGTGCAGTAATTAAAGATGGTAACAATGGTATTCGAATATAACACTTATTCCAAATACAGTAGTGGAACATATATCACTTATCTCTTAAAGGGACTGTGAGGTATTGTTTCAGTAAGGCGGGTAGAGAACATAAGTCTGAGTCTGATGGGAAAATGCTTACGAATATTGCCCTTGGATACGTAAAGTACGAGGAGCATAAACGTAACCTAACCAGTTCATTAGCCCCTCAAGTGTTAAAGCTGTGGTCAGTCACCTGGAAATCATTGCCTATTGGGTACGGATTACTATGTGTATGGCCTCCGGTGAACAATGTTGCTCAAGATATGCACCAGCTCTGGCTAGAAAAGTTTATGATTTGTTCCCCTCTGATCTAAACAGCAAAACAATAAATCTTGTGACGATATGCTAATCAATAAGGCACATACTTTAAGAGTTTTAGTATCATGGAATTTATTCTAATTAGTATATTCTTCAAAAGTAAGCAACTGCCTCGAAAAATTACTTTGGGAAAATGATTGCAGCAAATTCTGTTTACATTTTACAGGAGTGCGATCAAATATAGAGATTTTTAGACGGATTCAGAGCAAACCTGTTTGATTTAATCTACTTGAGAACATGTTCATTAACACGTTCTATTGATTCAGGTAATCACTTACTTGCCTACAGGTAAGAGAGTACGTCCATAGATAAACTTTGGGGTGCTTTACACACCATGAATTTTGGAGAAAGAAATTTGTTTAAAGTATCCATGATGAAATGATGTTAGGGTACTCTTTATGGAAGCATTTAGTGTTAAATAAAATATAGCGTCTCAGAGTTGTATTTTGCGTCTGTAAACGAAGTAGGAAAGCCGTTGTATAAGCAGTTTGCTCATTTCTTATCTATTCAAAGTATCAGTTTTTCTTATAGCCTGTGTTTCAAGTGAACAATTATTTTGTAAATAACATCAAAGCGTTTATGAAGTGCGTTGTTTTCAATTTCTCTGATTTACCTTGTCAGTTGTGTTTCTATTGTCAGTTGTTTCACACACACACACACACACACACACACACACACACACACACACACACACACACACACACACACACACACACAGCACAACACAACACAGCACAACACACACACCATTGTTAACGCGCTCACACGTATACACACGCTATGCATGAAAGAGAGAGATGGATAAGAAGGGTGTGGTAGAACAAAAATAAGGAATAAGTCTAAAAGAAGATTTAATTCTATTCTGATGTTCCCTAACTTCATTTTAATGGTTAATATAAATCTACTTCAGCTAATCATCAGTTATTAAGGTTACTAGCTTTAGTTTCACATTTGATGT